CTTTCTCTTTATTTCTGAAAAAGTCACTTCCCACCAGAATTGCTAAGGTGTTTTTTTTAAATGAAAAATTTGTTTCTTATAATAAAATGAATCTGCAGTTCTGCATCTTGTTATTAAATTGATAAAGACAAAATAATATTTTGTGATTAAAACTCTATTAAAGATAGTTGGCCTTATTGATTAATAAATATAAAGAATTTGAGTGACTGAAAGCATAGAGCAAGGAGTTGATGGTCTTCTGTTTAGTCATCCTAAACAATTGAAGTCAGCATATGAAATTATGTCAACAGACATAATCCAGGATTGAAATTCAAACTGACAGCTACATTAATGCTAGGATATGGGTGGGGGGAACGTGTATCAAAGCTTGGTGAAAGATTTGTACAGAACATGGGTCTGAGACAAAGTATAAAAATGAAACTAATTCAGATTTCCATGGCACCAGGTAAACCCTTTGTTAATTATGAACAGTGTCTAGGTATGTAAATTCCTAACCATATATATATATGTCTATTTGGGTGTATAGCACATTGAGCCAGTTTTCATATAAAAGACTAGGTTTTTGAATCATAGCTCCATATTCTCAAAGCTTTTGACAAATAATAAATAAAAAGTTAAAAAGTAACTTGCATATTTAAGTAGAGTCTCAATTTTAAGAAAGCTGTTTAACATCAGTTGAAAGAAACTGAATTTCCAAAATACATTTTCAAATATGTTAGAATATTTTGATGCAGTTAAAACTAGCATTTTTAAGCAGTTTGCTTTTAATATATGACAAATTATACTGTATTCTTGAAAACATTGTCGAAAACAAAGACTAGGTTTTTAAAACTGTCTAACCAATATGATGAATGTCAGTCACTTTAAAAAAAAAATCCACTGTAGCATAAACACATACTGTATACAGCTTTTATTCAGAATTAGAATAATTGAATCAATGACAGTGATTTGCCAGGATGTCAAATCTCTCCATCATATCCTGTCACTACCAGTTTATTTTTTGTGATCAAAATCAAAAAGACAACTATTTTGTCACCCTCTATTTCATTAGTACTAAAAATCAGGTTTCTCCTATTTTTTTAGAATGTCTGGTTTATTTTTTTCACTTCTTTTAATTCTAAAGACACAAATTCTTCCCCATTTTCTTTTCAAAATAAAGTTTCAGAATTGATCTGTCAGTTAAAATTAAAGGGCTTTTATATTAAGCAAAGGTGTTTTTAAAATTTAAAGCAACTTCAAAAAATCGATTTAGTCCATAGATAATAAATAATGTTGTGCAGATACTCTGAAAAAGCTTTGCTGTGTCTTTTTAAAGCATTATAGACAATTTGAATAAATTTAAATGAATATTTTAGTCAAGTTATTATTTTAATAACTCTAACCTTTTTCTTACCGTGTTGTGATTCATTTTATACAAACACAACAGAACAATTACATAGCATTTGACTCTGAAGAGGAAATGTGAGGTCATCAAATATGTAAATTGCTTGTCAAAATACTTAATAGGTCATTGATTTACTACCCTGGCTACCATGTCTATAAAATTAACTGCCAATTACTAGTTAATATATGCTTTACAAATACATAAATACTGTAAAAATTGAATGTGCATATTTGAACCCTCATTTTAAATACAAAAGGAACTTTTCAAACTCAGTAAAAGTGCTTTTTGTATAAGAAGAGTACCTGGGCTTTCCAAAAATCAGATCCAAGTGCTTTGTTTTTCTGATTCAACACGCAGGCTTTATAAAAATAAGCTACTAGGGAGGGGTGTATATTTTTTTGCTTTCCTCAGATAAAAACCCACTCTAAAAATGTGTTTTCCTTCGTTCTGGAAACATTATTCATTATCCATTATGCTAATAATACATAAAAATATTGGTCTTTGATACTGCTACTGTAGGTATACGTACCATTTTAATAGATTATGAAATACTCTATCAACAGATTCTGTTTTTTTCCAATTATCACCTTGATATAAATACTTAAGAACAATGTCAAACATAGTATCTGAACGTGCTCATACCTTTGAAATGTTTCTAGTATGTGAACTTCAAAACCCTATATATGGTGTTCATTTCTTATGCTAGACTTGCCTTTCTTTAACATGAGGTAAATATTCTGACTACTGCAGTCAGCTCAGGTGCTGAGGTTCTAAGACCATCTGAATTTCTATTTAGTAGCCACAAGACAATTTCCACTTTTCTCTTCCTCTTTTCCATTTTTTCTTTATCTCCACCTCCAAGATCTTCAAATACTAACAACGGACAAAATAAAACTACTTCAAAGGGGAGCAACACTCTGCAGTCAATTCCCTGTCTATGTTTTAATTTTGAAGACTCAAACACACACATATGCATACAAAAAGGAAGTGTGGGGGGACCCTATTCATTTGTGTAAGCCCATTGTTAATGTCATTTCTAAGACATCATATTACTACTTTCCAAAGATAGTCACCATCAACAGCATCGAATTTACTCAAGGCCAACCATAACTGCCTACACTTTGAACTTTAAAACTGAGCCGTTAAGTCATTCAGGACCAGGGCAAAAAGATGAGGTTTATTCTTGAGAAGGAGAAAAGAGAAGAATATGTGTTTGGCTTTGGTGAGCCAAACTTATTGTACAGAGAAGAAAAGCCATTTTAAAAATCTTGTTGACATTAATAGGAGAGCAGAAAGAAATGAGCAGAATAGACACTGTCCTTAAGATGACAAACATTTACAGAACAAAGCTAAATCTTAAGATGCTGGTGGTGGTGGTGGACTGCATAAATAAATCTCAGGAAATCTAGTTATGATAAAAATAGGAAGCAATAATTATATAAGCTGTATCAAAGAAGCCAATTGTTCGCCATTTAAGAGTTAGGAGGCACAGGTTTGGGAAAAAATGTCCTGGAAATTCACTATAGTAAAAAAACTTTTTACTTAGATTAATTTGAATGTTTATTATGCAAACATTCAGCTTTAATTCTATTCACCTAGTCTCCCTAAGTAGGTCAAATTTGGAGAAAAATTATAGGCTGCTAGTCCTGTGATTCTACTGAAGACATCACAAATAGACGGTCTCCATTCTGGAAGATGGCATGAAAACATCCCTGCAGAATTTCCATTGATAACTATATGAATATACCTATCAGTAAATAAATAAACAAAAATTATTTCAACAATGAATAAAAGGCCAACTCCCAGGCATGGCTACCACACAGTGCCTGCCATGCTGTCCCCTGGAGACTGCTGAGAACTCTGTTCAGAAGGACAGCTCAACTCCCTAGGGTGAGGGCAGAAGGCAAGACAGCCGTTCCCACCCTGCTGGACCAGAGGGCTTCTGCAGCTGAGCAGTCTCTTCTTCAAACTAAACCAGGCTGTGCCCTGGCAACCCTGACCCTCAGAGGACACAGCATACGTGCCAGAGTGCACACATACAGACCCTTAGCTCCCACAACAGTCCCTTCTCCCAGCCGCTGCTCCTGTACCCATAGCACCACACTCAGTTCTCCAAGGTCTATGCATTCTACACAACAGAGCTGTGGGCCAGGACTGGCTGCCTGACCTAATCCAAAGCACAGCCAGTTGGAAACTGTCCCTTCTTGCACGGAAAAAGAGAGCCAGCCAGCAGCTGTGCACACACTCACACATAACCCTTCTCTAACAGTTCCCTCAGCACATGTCCCTCATGGAATATAGGCTGCAAAATGTCAGGAGGTAGAAATACCTGCATGGGCAACTGGACCAACAGTGCATGTGTGCACACTCCACTAGAGAGGTGTGCGAGTGTGCAGTGCAGGCTGATGCTGAATAAAACTACATGCACACAAATAAAAGCTGCAACCAGCATAGGAAGATGTCTCTAAATGTGCAGCAACTCTGGTGGAATAAAATTATTAATAGGTAGCATGCTTGGAAAGGAGCCCTTGTGGCTCAGTGGTTAAAGCGCTTGGCTGCTAACCATGTCAGCAGATCCAACCCACTAGCAGCTCCATTGGAGAAAGATGTGGCAGTCTGCTTCCGTAAAGATTACAGCCATGGAAACCCTATGGGGCAATTCTACTCTGTCCTATAGGGTTGCTATGAGTCAGAATCGACTCGACGACAATGGCTTTTTGTTTTTGTATTTTTGGTGTAGCGTGCTTGGAGAGATGAATCACAATTATCTGTTCACAGGTAATTCCTTAGCTACAAAACAGTAGATATTAAACTAGAAGATTGTTTTTAAATCCTCCAATTAATGTCTGTATTTCTGATCATTTGCCTTTAGAGATTAAAAAAAAAAAAGAGCAGAGTACAATTCAGTAAAGTGTGTCTTTGTCCCCAGAGGTTTCTGCATGTGCAAACATTTAAACCAGACTGCCAGAAGCCCCAGCATTTCTCCTGAAGTTTGCAGAAGAAAACTTATCTATATTGACTTATAGGTTGCACAGAACAGACAGAAATAAAAGTCTCAGACAGGCCCTTTTTCCCCAACAAAGGCTTATTTTTTTTCCATCCTTTGCTTGGGCTCAAGCACTCCTGCCCTGCATGCTGCCACTTTAAACATGATCAGATCTGTGCTTCATTGCAAATAACAACTGACCAACAATGGGGCCTGCTTCATAGATTTGGGGATGTTTGGTTAAAGCTGCCAATGACTGAAGGCCTTTAACTCCCACCGGCCAGTCACAGTCCGCTTTGTTGTTGTCTGTTGATGTGTCTGTGCTCATTATTCTTTGACATGCAACATCCCCCCCTCCACCCTCCAGCCATCCACAACAGCACAGAAAGCAAGATTCAAATGGGAACAGCTGTAGTGGTTCAATGGGAAATGATGCCTCTTGTGCAAAGGGGAGGGAGACAGAAAAGGGAGAGGGCCTATTTGAGAAAGGCAACAGCTTTCAGAGAGTCTTCTATAAGAGATCTACTTTTGAATATACTTCAGTGAAATCACTGTTGAAATAGGCTGACAATGGAAATCTGCGATTGAAAATGCCAGCCTAATTTAAAAGACAGTTCCTATTTAATAGCTTGTTGCATTTTTAAATTATTTCTAGGCTTTGAGCTTTTGAATTAAGTGGCTAACTGTGGGAAATATTACCATTTTGTATATATGTTGTGGGTATAAATGGACACAGGTCTACATACAGCTTTAAGTGGAATTCTTTTTCTAACACATTTCTGATTTACACTGTAAGAATTATCTCTTTAAGTATCTTCAGGGTTTAAAATAGGGTATGTGTGGAAAGCAATAGTTGGTTTAGAATGTTAATCTAATATGGAAACAAAATTTGCAACACCACACTATAAGGTTAAAAAGAAAATAGTATAATAAAAGAAATACAAAGGCTTTGGCATGGTTTTTACAATCAACAATGATTAATTTTGATATGTAGTTGTGAACAACTTCAGAACACTTAAGTTCAAAACTCTTGCAAGCACTTTTAATTGGTTAAGAATGAATTCTAGATGCACAAAATGATTGGACTGTGAACAGTAATACAACTATATCTAAGAACAATTAACTTTCGCTGGCCAAAAAGAAGTGTATGATTGCTTGGAAATGTGTATAAAACAGCTATAGAGTATTCTTGTCAAATATAAATGAAATTAACTTTATTATAGAAATCATTCAGAGGATTTCTAGGGAAGACAAATACTTACATTTTGACATAAAACAAATTTTATTATATCGAAGACACAATCTACCTTTTAGCTATCAACTTTTTTCTTCCTTGAATTTATATCTTACCCTTTTTGCACATAAACTTTATCTGTTAACAACCTTTGGAAAACCAACAGATATTTCTTACATAAATCTAGTGCATGTTGTTCCAGGTTTAATTATATGCAAAGGAATGATACAAACTTGGAACCTCAGTCCATAAACTATGAACAGATGGGTAGAAGTATTCGATATATCTTGATAAAACTCTCAAATTCGTGGCAGAGCTTGTTGATCATGGTTTCATTTTTTTTTTTTAAACAACTTCATGACCAACACAGATCAAACATCCATCCAGTCTACGTTGTTCTTTTCTTTTCATTATAACATACAAATGCCCATTTACAAATAATACACCAAAATGAATAAAAGCTTAGATACCAAAATGAAGATTTGTTCCAACTGATATCGCGCCTTCTGTATACAAAGGTCCTTGTTTCAAGTCCATTCCCCACCGATACAATACAGGACAGAGTTGCAGAACTGAAGTGCTTCTAACAGCCCATTTTTCTTTCCTTCCAGAACACCCAACTGTTGTGTCCACAGTCACTGACTGAATTAACACAATATTTCTTTTATTTCCTTTTTTTTTTTTACTGTAATCTTGGCCAATATTGAGACATATCAGGTTCACTTCCAGGAACTTGAACTGGAACTGACACGCCAGGGGAAATGAGGCCTAGAAGTGGATGAAAGAAATAGCCATGTAGATACTCCCTTTGAGATACAGGCATGGAGTATAAATTTGTAGGTTAAAAAAAAATTAAATTAAAAATCTCTAATGCCTTCTAACATTTTAACTGTATTTTAAAAAAATTCTCTCAACTGTTATAAACAAAAGTAGCACTTTCAGAAACTAGACAATATGTTGTTTACACAGACTTATAGAATCCCAAGTCCCCCACCCAAAAGAAAAGGAAAAAACCTCCATTTGTTTCTATGTTTGGAATGTTAGCAACAAAACTATGTCTTGAAAACCAATGTGGTACTTCTTCAGTTGCCATGAAAGGCATAGAGGAGTTAGGCAGGTGAGAAGTCTTCCAACGAGCACTCACTGTAGAGCTCAGGGGCCCTCACTGCTGAGCTTTGGCTAGTAATCCATCCTCAGAAAATTTATAGTCTCAAGCCTTGTTTTCATATACAACTTCTGTGATCAAATTCAGGAAAAATAGCTTTTTTTTTTCTTCTATATGGTGTCACATTACTAACTAGCTTGACTGGATTTTCCCATTTCAATCAGTTTTTCCCAGAGAAGTGGGCAACACAGAGTTAAGCACACCCTCACATAAGGCCAGGAGAGTCTTTTGAGGCTAACTTTGAGTGAAGGGAGAAGATCACCTGGCAAAAGAAGCTGTAAAGACCACCTCTGCACAGCCCACAGAGAGCGTCAGCTCACCTGTTGAAGTGGTGCCGGAGGTGCCCATTGGCTGACTGTTCATATGTGTCTGCATATGAGGGGGTGTGTAGGTATCATAACTCCGCCCGTTCACTGACGGACTGGTGGGCAGCATGCAGGAGTACGAGGAGGTCTGGCTGGGGACTGGGGGCTGCAAGGAGAGAGGCAAACATATAGTTATTGAGAAACACATCACACAAGCCACGTCCCCAAGCTCCCTCCTCCCCAGGAACTTTGCCAATAAGTCTGATCATTAAAGATACCTTCATGTAACATATTGGAATTCCATACAATAATATTGGCCTCCCAATCAGTCCTTCCACTGGCCACAGCTATAACAAAGTTGCCTGTGCACCAAATTTCTAAAGCACTGGAAATTTAGACAGCTGTCCAGTTAGACAGTTGGTGAATCCTTTTATTTATCCATAAAATTAGTTGGATTTTTGTCCATTTTCGTCTTGGACCTCTGTTGGCATCTTTAGGGAAACTGGCATGCAGGCCTCCATTAAAACACACCCATCTCCACGCCCTGCAAATCAGACAGCTGTGGGAGGAGCTGTCTGTAATGTTTGGTTTGGGGACCTGGGGACATAGTTTTTCATGAACAGACTCATGGGATTAAAGACTCTTTGAAGAGGCAGATCTGTAATGGCCAGGGTAAATTGAACAGGAGTGTCAGTAAATATAACCCAGACCCATCCTGAGAATTAACTGTGGCTTCCTTATAGACCCAAAAACCCAGACTGAGTTTTTGTCATAAAATTGCTGCTGTTACCCTCTAAGTGTTGTGAATGGAAGCATTTAGGAGATAAACCTTGCTCCTAGCTAAATATGAAATATACAGATCTGGGGCAAAACCCTCCATGAGCTCTCATGGGGATATGCCAGACCAGCAACGTTGAGATACATCAATAGAAGCATAATGTCAGGAACAAGGAAGATGAGAGGACCATTCTGTTCTGCACATGAGAGAAATGTTCAACATTCCAAGATCTACATTCTCAGAGAGAGTGATGCCATGCTTTGAATAAATGGTTGAAGATTTCGGACAACAGGATGAATAGATGGACAAACAGACCCACCCTCCTACTCCAAAATAGAAGGTATGTTTTTTTTGTTTTGTTTTTTGTTTGTGTCTTTTTTTAGCAGTAAAGTTATTGATAATTTTAATTTTCTTTAAGCTTTTGAATGTATTTTTTTTTAAATTATCTAAACTGTGTAATTTTTAAAAGTCATCATTTGAAGTAAATTGACCCCATACACCCATCTGTATGTGGAAACAATCCTAACATAAGAGCATCTCTTTAATCATTTCTAATTGTTTTCTCATATACAAATTTGCTTATCTTCACAGAGACCTTGATGTTGCTACAGATTATTAAACTGAACAAGACACTCTGTGGCCTTATTAAAGTCAGGGGATATCTGCTAACATCAGGTTAACAGAAGCAAACAGGCCTTGAGGGCCCTGCCGGAATTTCAGCTTGCATTTGTGTCTAATTCCCACAATCACTTCCTCTAGGCACCCTAACATCTGGAAAATTCCAAGGCAGTTACAGCAACACCAGCTAATAGGCTGTTAATCCCTTAATTTACATCAACTGCACTATGGACAATAATATCTAAATGCAATAAAAATAAACGTGAATAATTCCTCTGAAGCTGCTCTGTATTAGTCTGAAGACTGTGAAGCATTGATTTTGCTGTTATTTTGATTAGAAATCCAGCAAAAGATGTTCAGTGAAGAATAAACAATCTGTGTAACCCCAGCACTGTCTCCACTAGGGGCTCATGCTGGCCAATCTCACACCAGCCGGCATCTCTAATTGTTGTACAAACAGGAGTCCTAGGGAAATACTTGGGAAAGCTGCTGCAAAAGACCCACCAAAAGGAAAATTTCTTCCCATAAGAAACTATCCAGCACCAAACGTCTAGTTTACCCCACCCTCCTTATACAACTTCCATTATGAAGTGCTAGCCAAGCACAGGGCCTAGCACATGGTAGGGTGATAAATACTTGGGATAGAACTGAGGGCAGGGGCAGGTCATTTATACCACATACACTAGCCTCTTACTAGCTAATAATATGCCAGCACTGTTTCCATTTTCTGGTACAAGTTTCATTGGTATCCAAAACATGCCCCACTCCCACCCGACACGATACAAGCTAACATTCTCTGTGAGCAAAAGGTAGATGAACTTGACTAAACAAGTCATGAATCAATCAATCAATTAAAAAAGATTGGACCAACTGTTTTCATCGCAGACTTGACTGGTCAAGCCAATCACTGTAGTTGGCTCCCAGCCAACCAGGTCTGCAGGTCCCAGCCCACTCCCCACTAGACCTCCTGGGCACCCATTAAGCAGGCAGCCACGGGCCTCACTTACTTGCATAGGCAGGTTATTCGCCATGGTGAAGCTGGGCATGGGCGGCAGAGCACTATACGTGTTTGTGAGGGCTGTGTCTGTTCGGCCCAACATGGAGCCAGATGTGAAGGAGGAAACTGCAGGGAGGGAGACATGAGAGATAGTCATGGCAAAAGTCAGGGCCAATTTTAAACACATTTAGTATTAGTAGTTGTATTTCAAATTACCAGGCGTGGTGGGTTGTGGGATTGGTTGGTAAACACTGGTACTGAAACTACTGCTGATAGGAATATGACTAGGTGTATTGCTGGCCTGTCTTCTCTGATTCCTCAGCTTTTCTTCTCTTCTCCATTTGGCCCTTCGATTAGAAAACCATACCTGGAAATCAGATGGAACAGGTTAGCCAGACCCCTGGTAGCCCTGTGCCCACCTCCAGCCCAATCCCACCCCTGACACCTCCACTGCCCTCCCCGACCCTTACCTATGCAGCAAAGTATTTAGCAGACTGGGCCTGTTACAATTTACATAAATAACTGGTGCTCATTAGAGGCACCTTTGTCTCTGGAAAAGGCAAATGGTTTGAATCACAAAGCTTGCAACCACAAGGTCTTAGGTACCTGTATTCTTGCTTCAGGTAGATCTATTTTAGCCGCTAGTCTTTCTCGGGCAAACACATCTGGATAGTGGGTTCTCTCAAACTCTGAAAGAGTAAGTTGATTTTTCTATGTTGTGCCAGAACTACACAAAGTGAGTGGACCAGCTCTCCCCGCCCACTACTCCCATCATCTCCAATCAGTTCCCTTGGATATGTCACTACAACTAGCGTTGACAGAACCAAGTTAAATCTTCTTTGTAATAACATTCAAGGACCCTACCGTGGCGTGAACTAATCAAATCATCATTATTTCTCTATGAGAAGTTAGACTTTTAGTCTTTGAATTACTGACACATAAAAAGAAGAAAACCTACTCAGTGAAAAGATGGCCAGGGGGGGATAAAAGGAATAAGAAAGAAAAAGAAACCTTTCCAGTCCTCTATGCAAGGGCCCTGGCTAAATTCAGCCCTTTGTACTGAAGATGTGGCATTTACTTTGATTTACTACTTCCGTACTTTGAAAAACTCCATCACCTTTCTCCAGGGCCTCAATTTGCTCTTGGGTAAAGGATGTTCTATTCCTTTGCAGCTTCCGCTTCAGCTGAAGTCGCATTTGGGCCTCATCTGAATCTTCTCCGTTGGAACTGATGGAGTTGGTATTCTCTCCCCCTCCTTCCTGTTGCTGGCAGCCATCTGGAACAAAAAGGGTAGGATGGTAAGAGAAATTCAGGACAACTGGAGCCTCCAAAAGGAGCCTGGAATAGCCATAAACTCCAATAGCAGTATATCCTGAAAAAACATTTCCAAGGTGAATAAGTGTTGGTCTTCTTTTAACAACATACTGTACCTGACCACCATTTTCTTTCTCTCTCTGTTTTTATCAAGATGAGACTGCACAATATATACACTAAATGGCATTTCTTTGAATGACAAAACAAGCACTGAAGTTCCCAGTTAAAACGATCTTTCATAACTAACCTTAACTCCCTAAATGCTTCACCCAGTTCCCTTTCCCTGCAGAATTTATTTACCTATGCCTGTGTTGGAAAAATAAAAGTGATGCTCAAGATTTCAGCTGATCTATAATCAGTAATTCCTATCTAATCAATTAGATGTTGATAGGTTTGTAGAAAATGCTATTAAGAAACCAAACCAAGCTTGTAATCTTTTTTAAAAAATATTTATCTAGTTTTTATTTGAATTCTACACAGTCAATTTCATTTTAAAGGTTGTGAATTTAGAAGTGCTCGCATTGTTCTGCAGTTTTATTCAACTATTGTATGAGTGCGCTTTGCCTTGACACCTATTACGAGCACAGCTGTAATTATATCATCACCAAGAACAGGCTATAATTGCTGAAAATGGAATTTTATATTTAGATAAAAGGACTGTCCATTCTTTGTATGTGTTGCAGCAGAGAAAAGTAAGATTTCTTTTAAATTTTTAACGTGTAATTTTAAAAAAGAAATAGTAGAGAGTTCACTAACTAGCTAAATATGCTATGCTGCAGCTGAGTCCTTGGCATATCATTTAAGCAGTACATTTTTAATTAGGGCATTTCCACTACTTTTAATGTAATTTCTATCATTAAACAGGGTAAAGTTTTATTGTTTTCCCTTGGCGCTTGGAGGGTGAGATGTGCACTTGGGGTGGCTGTCTCTGCCTTGCCTGTGAGGCCACAGCCTGTTTGAAGGGACTCAGGCCTTCACTGGGCCTCCAGGGCCATTGCAGACTGGGTCCTGGGTCCTGGGTCCTGGGTCCTGAGGCCCCAAGGAATACCAACAGAGCTGCCTCCCCCCAGTATTGGAAACTTGGCCAGCGGGGGTGGGGGAGCGAGGGGCTGCTCTGGGTGCATTGGTGGGAATCCCGAGGCCAGGAATATCATTTATAACCCAGAGGACAATAGGCAGTGCCTTCAAAGAGTTCAGGGAATTGTGACAGGATCTAGTGGGATCCTTTCAGGAACTTTGAAATGTTTTAAAACCCCAACTTTCTCCCCCATTTAAACAGGCGGATTCATCGGCACTGGCCACCATATGGGCTCTTGGAGATCTATTGAGATGACCACCAACACTTGAATAGCGAGAGGCTGCTTTTCACCGCTGCACAATGCCCCGTGAGTAAGGGAAACTATTAAACTCCTGGGGCAGGAGCGTTGGCAAACTTTCGTGGGCAGAATTTTGAGGCCACAATGAGCGCGGACAACAAAAGGATTCTCTTGAGGCGTGCAGCGGGCCACATTGTGTTACAAGAAGCCCAGTCAACAGACTTTTCAGTGAAGTGTGTTAACCCCTCTGCTCTGCTATCATTAATCACTGTCCGTAGAGCGGGCGCCTCATTGCTATTTAGGGCGCTTGCTGGAGGGATGGAGAGTGGAGGGGGGGCGGGGAAAAGTGGAGGGGAGACACGGAGGGAGGATGGGGACAAGGGCTGGAAGTTGGGGGGGGCAAGGAGAAAGGCTGGGGCGGGGGGGGGGGTGGCGGGGAAGAGGATATGGAGAAAGAAGGGAGAAAGTGGGCTCGAGAGAGGAGGCCAGGGAGGTGTAGAAAGAAAGGACAGAAAAGAATGCTGAGACGAAAAAGAGACAAGAGGGATCGGACGAAAGGATGAGAAAAAGAGGAAAAGGAAGAGGAGGGAGATGATATTAGTGACTAGGCTGCGGCTCTCCTTTGGGTCAGCTTGTGCCACAGCGGAAAGGGGGGTGGGAGGGCTACTTAGCGGAAGGTGAGAAGCTCTGCTCACGTGGGCCCACGCCAGTGTCCGCCCTCAAGTAAGGCCTCAAGTTTCCCGCTGACTTTTCAAAGTGTTTTTAGGCAGAAGAAATCAAGGGTCCTCTTCCGTCATTTATGAGTTCAGTGAGCAAGGAAAAACTTAAAACTAACTCCTCTGACAGTTTTGGCCAACTGCGAGACTCGTTAGACATTGCTTTTGGAAAACACAAACAAAATTCTGCGACCATCCGGCGTTTAGGGCCCAGGGCACTGAGGGAAAATTAATCTCTGTCCCTCCCCCGGTGGTCACTCACGCCCTGCCTTCCAGGAGGCTCCACCTCAGCCCCTTTTCTGGCACATTCGATCTTGCCAATTAAACAAAGCTGCCCGGATCCCCCTCAGAAGACCCTCACAAAAAGCATTCTCTGCTTCTCTGACACTTTCCTAATTTTAAAACATGAATATATGCTCGTTCTCTCCCTTCCTCTACACCCGCGCACCACACACACACTGTCTTGGTAGAAGACAGACAGATAGATAGACAGACAGACAGACAGATAGATAGATAGATAGCAGCCCAGGGCCCCCGCACGGGCTTGAGAATTGACACTAACGGCGAATGAAGTCAAGGAGGAGGGGGGAGCGGCGAGCTAGATTTTAAACCCCCTTAAAAAAAAAAAAAGAGTGGAATTAGTGGCCAGCAAAGAGAAACCTGTGGCTAGGAGCCCTCCACGACCCCACAGAGCGAGCAGGCACCATTAAAAGTTTGTTTGATACTTTAAAAGTAGCAACTGTTTGCAGCGGTGATGGACAGGTCACTCTTACATAGGGCGCCTCCTTTTTCTCTTAAGCGGGTTTACCTTCCACTCTTAAGGCTTTTAACGAAATAAAACTAGAAGTTGGATCTCGAATTCCCCACGTGATAAACCTAAGTGGCAGACAATTAAGATATCTTCTTTAAAAGGCGCCCCCTCAGAGCTGAGCAAAGAAGGGGCCTTCAATGGGCGCCGTCCACCTTCCAGCCTAATCCGTGAGAAGGCGAGTGAAAGCGCCTCCCATTATCCCCACCCCAGGACCATCTGACGCTGGGGATAGGATTTGTTTCCTGGAAGACGAAGAACAGAAAAAAAAAAAAAAAAAAGACGCTGGGAAATAAAATCATTCCTTAGTTTCTTAGTGTCTTAATCAGTGAGGCGGAAAACAAGCAAGAAAAGATAGCAACCCGGTTGCGGCACCTTTTCAGCTCCGGAGTGCGGATCAAAACATTGTAGCATCTGTTGAAAGAGAGACTGACTAAATCCTATAGAGGGCCTGAGTATTACTGGGGGGTGGGAAGGAGGGGGGAGGGATAAGAAAAAGTGTCTCCGTGATCCCTAAAACCACCAAATCGCTGGAGAATTGGGGCTGGATAGAGTTGTCTCTTGTTGTTGTCAGCCCACGTCGTCATGGTTTTATTCACCGCCGCATGGCGTTGATCAGATGGAAACCATATTTGTCTCCCTCTGACACCTAACCTCGCCTTATGCTTTCGGAGTAATGGACTCTTTAAAACCCAAGAACGGCTTCCTAAGCCGGGGAAGGGGGCCAAGGAGGGAGGGGAACCCCCTTAGTGCCAAACGGCCTGAGGAGTCCCCGGGAACGTCAGCCGACGCTCGCCACCAGCGCCTGTGTCCCCGACACCCTCCCTCCCCACTCTGTTTTCCAGGGTAGTCCTCCCAACGCAGCGAGGGGAGGCGGCGCCGGGGACAGGATCACCTGAATGGGGCTTTTGGAGTGGGGCGGGGGTGACAGCGACCCAGAATTCTCTAACTCAGCACCTAAAATTTAACAGTTCCTGAATGAGCACCATCTCCCGCCTTAACCATTCCCACCAGGCCCCTGCGGATACGAACTTGCTTCCCGCCCTCACGCTCCCCAGGGCGAAAGTCTCAAATCTGGCGCCACCTCTGGTGGAGGCAGTGGGGCTGGCAAAGCTTTTGCCGTTGATTTATGTTCGGCGCAGGCAGCAGAAGTGGGGTGTCCTCCTCTATGCTCCTAAGCAATCCTGAGCCCTCACAGCTAGAAGGCCAGGGGGTGGAGGCTCTGGGCTCGTTCACCAAGGCCTGGGCTCCTGTGCCCCACGCCCTCCCCAAGACTCCTTGGACCAAGTCCGCCAGGCCCTGACCAGGGAAGAGTCGTGGGGACTCAGATTGCTTGGGGCGAGAGGACCGAGAGGACCGAGGATGCTCTGACGCCCCTGGGGGTGCGAAGTGCGGGTGTCACTTGGGTGTGTCCAGAGTACGCACGTGGGAATCTTACAGTTTCAAAGGTCGGGCAGGGCTGGGGTTGTCCGCACTCAGCCGCGTGGCTCCCTTGGCCTCACCAGGGGCTGCAGCTGCCCGGGCGGAAGCAGCGCCTCCTCCAGGGGCTGGAGCTGCCCGGGCGGAGGCAGCGCCTCCTCCGGGTGCGGCGGACCACGATCCTGGAGCCGTCGTGCGGTGGGCGGGTGGGGTCGCCCTAGGGGAGCCCGGACCCTGCGCGTCAGGAGGCCTCCGCCGGCCGAGCGGCCGCGCTGGGAAACAAAAAGCAAGTGCTTTGCTCCCTATCTTCCCAGTGTCCGTCCTATATTGTTTTCTGCTCTTAAAACTGACGTGTCTAATTGGCAATTGGTGCCGAATCGTGTCCAGAGGTCTCTTGTGGAACATTTCTACAGCTGTCTCCTTCAACTAGACGCTTATTCATGTCGCCTTAATGAGAAACAAAACGTTCTCTAATGAGCAATTACAGAGCGACAGGATTGTTCCCATAACAAATTCTTGCGAGTGACAGAAGCATCCTTTGTACCAGATATTTCGCATACTGTTACCGATTTTCCCTTCGCTAGCCCGGCCCCGTGGAGGCGCGGGCACCCGGAGCCAGTCCGGGAGCGCACAGACGCGCGGGCAGCCCCACGGCGGTCCCCATACGGCAGCCCCTGGCCCGGAGCCCCTGGGCTCCGTCGTGCTCCAGGGAGTGAGACGCCGCCACGTCCCATTATCCTGCATATTATCTCCTTGTCACAAAGACAACAAATATCGATTAATCTTCCAAGTAAACTGTTTCCTCTTCTTGACCAAGCTACCTCGCTGCGTATGGGGGGGGGGGGGTTCAAAAGACACCTTCATCCGTTCCTCTTCCTCCATTCTTTCTCACAGATTCCGGGTATCCCAGGTCCCGTCTCCCCTCCAGCACGGAAGCCTCTCCTGGTACCCCGCAGTCTGGCTCACAGTATTTTCACCCTGACACTTCTACGTAGTCACCACCCACAGAGTGAGAACTGAGGGCCCGCAGGAGTAAGGGGAGGAGGAGAAGGGGGTGGTGGGAGACACCTACCTCTAATGCCCCCTCCTCGACTTGGCCCTATATCTTGCTGTTCACCCTCTCATATGCACTCTACTCATATTCACATAATTTGTCAATTATGGCAAAAAGCAAAACGATACGATTATGTTTACCTTGCAGTCTGTCAGTGTGTTAACTTGTCACACTTCTACAGCAAGGGGGCTCTCTGTGCATTTCAATGGGAAATTTGAATAGAGCACCACACGGCTAGCTAGCTCTTACATGCACATACTCCTGCCCACAACGCAGACACTCACACACCAGCCACGCTCATACTATTCCTGATATGCAGAATCCTCATACTCCCAAGCTAACCAGATGGTTCAACAACACCATCTAGATACATTGCAAGTCAATGCATCCAGGCCTTTGAAGAGTCTCTCCACTACATCCCCCAAGCACAGAGGCCGGGAGGGGGAAGAGATTGGAGGAGGAGAAGATGGACGAGGAGCTATGTATATGGAGGACTTCAAAGATGGGTGCTTGGGTTTTACCTTGTGTAGGTTGCCCTGGCACCGAAGTCCCCGGATACCAACCGGGCCGGGTGCCCCAGCTTCCTGTCTGCCCGTTCAACATCCTTAGTTTATCATACATGCCGTCTGCGCCCATCTGTTGCTTTTCGCTAGCCAGGTTGCGAAGAACTCTGTTTATTGATGACACCTGCAAATGAAACCAAAATCAAACCAAATGGTCATGTCCCCATTTGTGACAGTGAAGACACTGTCACCCCATCTTAAGTCCCCATCCCCACTTGCCCACCCCCTTAAAGAACAACCCTCAAAACATTAAAATGTTTCCAGCCCCCCTGGGACATTGGGTAGATTTGCAGAGACATTGTGGAAAGAATGACAGCCCATCACTTTGGGCATGGAAACTGAGTTGGGTAGAAAATTGGGTAATGGGGGGGGGTCCTTCACCACTACCTGGTGGCTCTGGTGACCTGACTCAGTGGCTGCTTCACTCTGTTAAAAGACTTCCTCAAAAAGATTTAGACTTGTTTTGGAGCTTTCTTTCATTTACTTGGCTTTACATGAGGATGGAGATGGATGTTTGATGCCTGAAGGAAGGTTCAGGTGGGTAGATTTGGAGGAAGCTCCAAATTTTTCCTTATTGACTTAAGAGCTTTTCCTAAGTGCTTTCGCCCTCTGCTTTGCAGTATGCAAATGAAGTAAATAATTCCCCATACTCAACTCCCATTTTCCAGATAGTCAAAAAAGGACAGAGCACTCCTCTCAATACCCCAGATACAGAAGAGACAAACGTGGGGCAGAAAGAAGACACAGAGAGACACCAGGAGAAAGGAAAGTGGGAAGAAGCAAAGGAGAAGTTAAAGGGCAGGGAGGGTGAATGTTCTCAGTGAACTTACACTTGGTATGTTATCGTTGGTACAGACCCCCTCGGACAGTAATCTGTCTCGGATTTCCCAAGCAAAGATGGACGGGCACTCCCGCTTATACTGGGCTATTTTGCTTACAACTTCTGGAGTCGCTACTCTTGGTTTACTACCACCGATTGCCCTGGGTCTGATGGAGCCAGTCTCGTAATACCTGCCCAGAATTTTACTCACACATCCGTTGGACACCTGCATAGGGGAAGTGGACAGAAAACCACATTATTAATAATTTCAAGACAAAAATAAAATTGTGTAAGTATGCATTAAACAATGACAAGCTTACGTTTTGATTGTCCAGCACTTGGACTTTTGCATCTGCATGGGTCTATAACACAAAAATATACCTTCAATGGTACGAGAACTTACTGTAGAGAGCTTTTTTTCTTAAAATTACATTTGTAGCCCGAAAAACTACCAATATGAAGATACTTTCAGTTTGAACTAAAAAAAACTAATCAAAAAAATTTAAAAACTGTTTTATTAAACACTGTCTGAAGATGCATCAAAACGAAGTCAGATTAATTTTTTTGTGCTGACCTTCCTTAAAATGGTGTTATGCTTTAATAGGCAAAGGGGAAAAATAAAACTAAAATTTTACCCTTTTTTCTTAAAAAATATGCCCAATTACATAAATGTGAGTTAGGGAGGGGCTAAGTAGCATTTGCCTTTTAAAATCCATATATGTTCTTCATGACTATGAAGAATACAGATATCTCAAAATCCAAGGTAAGTGTGAGATGGAAAGAGGGCAACTGAAATTATGTCAGTTTATGTAACTCAGCTTATTATAGTTCATAAACTATTACCACAATGAATGTCTTTACCAAATGAAGGGAGGTTTTTTTTTTAAAAAAAAAAACATACTTTTTTTTTTTTTTCCTTAAGCAGATGAATTATCTCATGACTGGCCCAGGTAGAGAGAGGTAGGGAAGGATGGTGGCAGGAAAAGGGAAAGTGGGAAGGCAGGGTGGTGGGGTGGGGACTGGGGTATCCAGTGGGTTGATGAGGGTGGGGATCCATAATTAGCAGCGTTTACAGTAAGAAATGAAGAGAGGGCGTTGAGAGTGGAGGGCCGCGGGGGCGGCGAGTGGGGTGGCGCCGGGAGGATCACCTGCAGAATTCGGGAAATGTCGCACGGCCGGGCCCCGCTGTGAGCTAGCTCTACGATCTTCTGCCGGGTGGAGTCCGGCAGTGGCCGCCCGTTGACAAAGACACCACCAAGTTGATTCACTCCGCTGTGACCTGAGGAAAGGGAGAGGAAAGGAAAGGAGAGGAGAGCAGAGGAAATAGGAGAAGGAGAAAGAGGAAGAAGAGGGAGAGGAGAAGAAGAAGGAGAAGAAGAAGGAGAAAAGACAACCACAATGCAGCCTCAGCTCCCTGCCAACCCCTGCCAACCTCAGCGATCAGGTCCCTGCTATCGATCAAAAATGACAACAGATCAACACAGCCATGCGGTGTATTGGGCACCCCAGCCCCAAAGACAGACGTACTCCTGCCCTGGACTGCAGAAGCACCATAGAGTCAGAAATGTGCTAACAAGCAAAAACTGACACACCCCACTACCGCCATCACCCCAACTACACTCCCAGACCATTGCCCCTCTTTATAAACACCCAGCAAGCCACTGAACCCAGATGGTGCAAACAACCAGCTCTAAAATAACCTCCCAAAGATCCCCTCTTAGTGTCACCCCAAACCTCAGGTTCTACAGAACCCACCCTGAACCTCCAAGTCTCTGCAGTGTTGGACCAGTACTTGTAAATCCTACAGCCCTTCAATGTTCCCTGGGATGCTAGGGTCCGGAAACGTTTGCATCACAGTACAAACTCTGGCAAAGGCACAGCACAATCACCCGGGTTTAAAAAAAAAAAAATAGAAAAGAAGAGAGAAGAACCAAAGCAGCAAATCTGTGGCTAGTAAACCCCAATCTAGCTTTAGCACCCACTCGGCTCCAACCACAGAGTGGCCTTGCTCCCCAGCTGCCGCAGTGGGGCCAAGAGCCGCAAGCCGCGGCAGGGACGGCTGCTCTGCTTTACTTTGTGCTGAGGAACCTGGCCCTCCCCACTGCCGAGGACAGATATTAGCAAAAATCAAAGGGAGGAAAGGAAAGGAAAAAAAAATAAAAAACCAAAACGACAGCATGTCCTCCCCCAGCCCTCTTTTATCTCTGTATCTCACAACCTCACCCTATTGTCTAATCTGGGGGGAGGGAGTTAGCACCTCTAGGTAGCCTCCTCCCCAGAAACTACTGACATGCAAATAAAACCAATCACCATTTCAATTTCCTTAAAAATCTCCAACCTGCAGCCCCAGCTCCAGAAAGCAGACTTCCCAAAAGACGTGGCTGCTTGCTCGCTCTCCTCTCCTCTCTTCTCCTTGGAGCCTCCTGATAAATTGACTCCAGAAGCCTGTGCTTCTTAGCAATAAATAAGCTCCAAATATAGAAGAGGGGGGAAAATATGATGAGCCTCTCTGACATTTGTCTTTAAAATAAAACTAGCTGCACGTCAAGTTTGAGCTTAATTTCTGGAAATAGGCGGAAGTCGCTCCGGATCATGCATGGAAGGCTAATTGAAAAGATCAGTCGGGGCGCTTGTGGCAGCCTTGTCACTTTGTGACAGTGCTCTGCTCCGGGAAATTGCATCGTCACGACAAACGGGACCGTGATAAAACGACCCTTTCCGTCCCTATTTGGAGATCACTCAGACGAGATTGAACTGCACTCCTTTCCCCTTCGAGGGGAGCCGCGTTTTCAGGGTAGCCGAAGGCTTGGGGCGGCCATCACGGGGGGTGGGGGGGCCGAGTCTCAACTCGATGAGAAGTGACAGGCGTTTGGGGGATCTGGGCTCGAGCTGGGCCCAGCGCGAGCTCGGGGACAGCGCCGAGACAGCGCTGCGCCAACAGAGCGAGGCCTAGATCTTGATTCCGGTTTCTCCTAAATTCCGTTTACTGCCTGCGTTTGCCTGGCAAGTCGCATTTACCCCTCCACCTACGGAATTCCCCCTCTCCCCTCGCAAAGGGAGCCTTCTCAGAAAGAGAAAGGCTGTCTCACGTAGAGACAGAGACTTTCCAAACTTCATGCCTCACCTGGGCAATTCCCAGCCTATGAATGCCAAGGCGTGTGAGGTCGCCTAATCCTAGACCTCCCTTCTTCTCCTCCTATTGCAAAAAATAACTACATGCCTGCCACCTCTGCAGCCACCGCCGGCGGGTGCTCCCGAGGAGACGGGGCCAGGACGCCTCTGCCAGCATCGAAATGGCAGCGAGAAAGCACAGCTCTAAGTTTCCCTTCAGAGGTTAAGCCTCAATCATTGTGTCCCTTCCCTAGGGACGGCTGGCGCTCTCGCCCAGTGGCGATGATTATGAGCCTAGAATTCGACCGCGAAGCATCTAATAGGAAAACATATGGTGTCAATTTGGATGCTCTGTGCCTCGCGCACACCCGGGAGCTAGCAGCACAAAGCCCTGTGGGTCGGCGAGCGCCCCTGCGCCCCTCGGGGCCCGCCAACCAGGCCGCAGTGGCAAACGCTCGGTGCAACTTGCCCGGATCAAACCCAACCGAGAGCCTGCGGCTGGGGAGACTGCGCTCCAGGGGGAGAACCCTGACGCTGGGAGGGGCGGGTAGAGGCATTGGCCTCGCCAAAGCGTGGTGTCTCCGGGGCCAAGCCCTGGGACCTGGCAGGTTCTGCACAACCACCCACCGCAAAGCTCAACATCTTCGCGCCCTTTCCTGGGGTTCGCGTCCATCCGCCCCAGCAGCCCCAGGGAGTGGTCAGCGCTTCCAAGACAGATGGATAGAGCGTGTGGATCCTAAGTCTTTGTGGATCGGCAAGGAAAGGTTGACCTAGGCCTTTCCACTTCAGATATAGCCGAGCCCTTAAACCGCGTCCAGACTCCGCATCTCAACCTGGGCCTAGTTTCACTCTACTTCCAGGCCCCCAGGCCAGGGCTCCAAAGTAGCTCTGCCACGTTCTGGCGCCCACGGACTGATCAGGAAGGTGGGCTAGGGTTCCAAAGGCCTAGGCAGAGGGAGGAAGCAAGGTGCATGAACCCAGGAATCACAGGCACTATGGGGCTGAATGGCCAGAACCCACGCAGGTGCAGTTGCTAGGGCAGGGGTTCTCCAATTTCCGAGCGTGTCTCCCACCCTCTTCCCAGACCCAGTAAATCCTGCTCTCTGCCGTGCCCTGTAACAACCCCACGGTGCGAGGTTACCACCCCCCTCCTCCCAATCGCAGGCCCTTTTCAAGCCTGGGTTCCCCATTCCCCTTCCATTCTAGGCCCTGAGGTGGGGAGGGGAGGAGCTGCCCCCAGAGTGACTTGGGGGAAGGGAAGTCCCCCACCCTACCCAGGCGCTGGAGACATTCAGTCCCGGCTAAACCCAAAGGGGCCTCCTTCTCCTCCAGCAACTGGGAGAAGCCTCCACCCCGCCCTGCTCAGCCCAGCCCCTCTCTCCGGGGTCAGAGCCCGGGCAGGGGCGGGGAGGGGGTGTGAGTTACAGGATTTGGGGGGATGGGGTTTCTCTACCGCAGCTTCGCAAACTCCCGCGGGCTATTCTGAAGGCCCTAGCCCCTGTTCTTCCAGGAGCTAGAACAGCAGAGCAAACGCCCTCCCCTCCCTGGCTGCCGGGCGGAGAGGGGCTCAGCCCCGGCAGGTCCCTGGGCCTCGGGCCGGGTGGCCTGGTCAGCGCGGGGCGCTGCGAGCTTCCACACCCTCCCCTGACCTGCTGGCCCGGGAGCCCCCAGCCCGAAGCCCGAGAAAGACCAGAGGCACTTACTGTTCTGCATGCTGGCGCTGGCTGGGGGCCGCGGGGTCCCACGGGGCTAGTATATGGGGCTCTGTTAGCAAGAAAATAAGCGTTAATCCCGGGCCTCTGAGCCAGGTAGGCCTAACTCCCTCCCGGAAGAGGATCTGGGAAGGAGGATCCGTTCCTAAAGAAGGATCCACTCAAACGCTTGGGCTGATCTGAGATCTGAGGGTCATCTAGCTTTGCACTTCAGGGCGTCCAAAATTTACTCTTTGGACTTCAAATAAAATACCCCAATATTTCTAATCTTCTGCCCTCAAACCCTTTATTAGCAGAAATGATGACCTGATTTTTTTTCCTCTTTCTTCCATCTGAACTACAATGAAGTGCACTGAAATAGTGAGTTTTGACTCTTTCCAGTCTTGAAACCAACCACCACAGGACTTGCCTGAAATCTGGGATGTCTGTCCACTCTTACAATAAAGGATCTCACACATCTGCGCACCCCTAGTTAAAGTCTTCCCCCTAAGACAAAACAGAAGGAGAGAAGGGCATGTCAAACTGTGGCTCAAAATCCATAGGCCCATAGACTGTCTGAGCCCCACTCTCACATTCACATCTAGGGCTCAAACTGCCATAAAACCCTAAATCCCAGTGATAACACCTCCATTTCCACGGCCTCTTCTGCAGCAGAGGCTTCTGCAGAAAAGACTTGCACCTGGCTTGGGAGAACTGGAGAATCTGATGAGTTAGAGTCTCACTATGCAAAAATATCGAGAACCAGGGAAAGAGGAAAAGAAGGAACAAGAGGAAGAGCGGGGTAAGGAGAAGAAGCCAAGACTTCGGGTAGACAAGGCTAATACCTGAAGTTTGTAGGGGAAGGGAACCACAGAGGGACCACTGAACTTTGCAGCATCTGAGGGTGCAAGCTGGAGTCGTTTGCAACTGCTGCAGGGCCACACTCCCTCTTTCCTTAAGTAGTTTCACCACCCGAGTTGCCCCAAGGCCCCCAGAACCCAAATTCTGGTTCCTCCTTCATCCTTCGCTGCCCCCAACCCCCTCCCCAGCTTAGTCAGGCCTCCTCTCCACTCATCTCCCAGCCCTTCTGGGACTTTGAAAGCGGTGAGCCCAACTTTTTCCCTCAAGCCTCACTTATTGTGATTAACTTCTCTTTTGGTGTTTAGATCTTCCCCCCTTTCACTGTACTGTGACACACGCTGTCTACCTCGCCTCACTGCTTTAGAAAGTATGAACAGGAGGGGGTGAGCTTGGTCGACAAAGCCTACAGACAGCAAACAATGGCTTCTATTCTCTGGCTCTCCCTGAACCCAAAGAGCAAAACCAAGTCTCCCTAACCAGCAACATAGCTTCCAACCAAATGTACCAATAACCCACCAACTCACAAAGGGAACAGAGAGACGGTACTCGCTTAGTAAGTCCTGATCCAGTGCAGGTCCCCCAAGGCTCACCCTCCACCACCCCCTCCCTGCCTTCCCCTAAAAAGGAGATTCTCGCAGGGAAAATAGAAAAGTAATTTCTTGTTATAAATATCTGAAGGTAATTGTGTTACTAGTGTGAGTTGTTAGGGGCTGTAAAAAGATACAACGGCACCGTGGGGAGCTCAATTGGGAAGAGAGAGTTACAAGAAAGAGCCTATTCAAGACGTTTGCTAAAAAAGAGAGTGAGAGAGAGGTAAAATAATGGAACAGTCACAGCATCATTTCTCCCTGTTTAAAAAAAAAACCAAAATATTCATTAATTTTCCCGTTTTGCCTATGGTGATTATTAATTTCGCCTGCCAGCAAGCAAAGAATTGCAAGAAGCCATTTTTCTCTTTAAGGCCATCCGTGGTCTAATTTATTAACTAGTTGGGGGGGGGGAGCTTAAATCCATAAAAACAAGCCTAAAACGAGGACTTTTTCCCAGCGTCCGTATACCGCCTGATAAATACTGGCGATGCCAGAGGGCTACCTAGTTACCCTGAGCTGGGTTGGCTCCCGACTACTCCCTCTCATCTCTCAGATTCCGCGTCCACAGTCAAGCCCGGGACAGGCAGAAACAACAACTCGGCCGCAGAAAGTGTCCCCCGCTCCCCAACGTGCAACCCAGAAGCTGCAAGGTAGTAGTGGGAGGGGGAGGGGGTAAAATTCGCCGGGGAGGGGCAAAACTTCCTGAACTCTGCTCTTCGTAGTCTACATTGTACACAACCACAACTGAATGCCCCTCATCCCGGCCGGTACTTGATGCCATTTTTTAAAATGTCACTAGCTGATCCCAGAGAGGCCTAGCCGATTAATTTTCGAAGCAGCTGGGAAGGTGGAAGCATTTCAAGTTCCGTCTCTGCTCCATCTTCCACCTCGCCTCTGCTAAGAAACTATCTAATTACCTAAGTAATCGTTAACACTTAGTCCAAAAGCTACCGAGAAAGCGAGGCACACAGACACCCGGAAGCAGTCTTGAGTCAAGAGGCCAGACCCCCAGCCGCGGCCCAAGTCCCCCGGTTTAGCCCCGGGCTTTGTACGGCCGGGGCCAGAGACCCACGCGGGAACGAAGGAGTGTCCGGACACCCTGGAGTAGCCCGGGCCTTGGGCCACTGCTCTCCACCCCCATCCCCACCTCCACCCCCAACACAAGCCTGTTTTCAAATGGAATCTTTTTGCTGTTGTTATTTTATTACTTAATTCTCAAAATCCATCCCCAAAATCCTTAGCTGGGGTGAAGGGGGAGCTCACTCTTAACATTACCCCTCCAGCCGAAGAGTAATTAGCAATTAAGATGACAAAGTTTTACTCTCCAGGGCCAAATAAGGTAACAACTGATCAAATTGCCTTTAGACGTTTGTAAAGGTCACCGGCTATAAAAAATGTAATGTCAACGGCAACAACTATTATTCCTTCTTGGTAATATCGCCAGGCTTTCAAGCTCTTTTCATTTCATTTAATTTTCTGCCCCCACCCCGTCCTCAAACCTTCTCAAGTTTGCGTTAAACGTCCAAAATGGCTTAGGGAGCTTTGGAAGAGTAAGAGAAAAAAAGAAACCACGTTCACTTTGTTTTTAAACTTTCTAGAAATCACTTCTGACTGGAGGGCCGGGTTTTAGCACTCCAAAAAGAAAGCATTTCCACTTGAAATTCAACTCCATTTCCCCCCAATTACACTTGCTAAAATTCCGGGCTATTATGGCGCAGGGAGACTTGAGAAAATCTGCACAGGGAAAGAGGCAACAACTTTATGAACTTTGAAAAGGCACTTTTTCTCCCGGGGTCCCAGAATCGAAAAGCTCAAATTACTCAGTCTAATTAACCGGGAGAGGATGCGATCAGACGAGAGGGAAAGGCAATGCTTTCATATTTATTTTTCCTTTTTTTTTTTTAAGGCCTCACAAAGAAGAATCACGGGCATTCGGATTAGCGGGAGAAAAAAAGCAAACCACCCTTCCACCTCGAAACTTGTTGAAATGGCAACACCTGGCGCCGTTTGCTCAGAGGAAGACAAGGTCATACCCACCCGAGCGCTGAGAGCCAGAAGACAGGGAAGACCTGAGCTTTCGCAAGGCGAGGGAGAGGGTTGGAGGAAGCCTGGGGAGCAGAGACTTTGGAAGTTACGAGCTCCGTGCTCAAGTTGCGGGCCGGAGCCCGGAGGCTTGCTGGAAGCGACAGTCTTCCCGCTCGGCTCGGAGCTCCCTCGGAGTGCGCCTCCGCTCGCTCGGCCTGGCGCCTTCCTTCCCGGCTCGCTCGCGCTCGCTCGCTCGCTCGCTCTTTCTCGCTGCCTCCAGCTTGTGGCCGCCTTGCCGAGTGGCTCCGCCAGGGCTGGCGGAGGGCGCGGTGCCCCCTCAGCTCCTGCTTGCGGGCTCTTCTGCGCCGGAGCCGAGCGCGGCACAAAGCAGGAGGGCTGGCGGCGGCGCGGCGAGCCGGCTCTATCCGCGCTCCCTCTGCGCGCCCGCTCTCAGCACTCTCGCTGGGCCCCAGGCTGGACAAAGCAGCCGGCGGCGGCTGGCCTCTGCGGCCGTTCCCGGGTCTTGGGCACCGCACAGCCTGTTCGTCCTCTCCAGCCGGCCGAAGAGCATTGGGTGACGTTGGGGCCGGGCGCTGAGGCAGCGGCTGCGCCGGGACCTTGGTTCTGCCTGCGAGCTCAGCCCGCGCTGGCGCTAGTGCTGGGGCTGAGCTGGCCGCCCACCGCGAGCCCTGAGCCGCTCCAGCTGGCCGGCCGTCACCCTCCGATGCGGGCTTTCGCTGGAAGTAGAAAGTTTGGGCTCCTGCGTGGAAACTTCTCCGGCCCAACTCTCCCGGCGTAGCAGTGGGGGAGGGGACCGACGGGAGGGAAGGAAGGAAGGGGGGAAGAAGGGGGAGCCCTGCCTGAATATTCCAAGAAAAATGAAGCGAGAAGAAAGGAACGGACTCACCTTTATGAGGCATCCTCTCTCGTTGTCAAAGCTCCTGTCAAGAGTTTTGTTCGTTTGGTTTTGTTTTTTTTTTTTTTCCTGTTGTTGCTTAAAGACCACAACGATTTGAAATGACGGTGTTTTAAAGGAGTTGCCGGTGAGAGTTTTCTCCACGGACGCTGCTGGGTTGGTGTGTGAGAGCAATTCTCAGATCCCTGGGAAGGAGACAGAGATTGACAATAAAATGGGCTGTCAGCGGTTGGAGAGTGAGAGATAAAGAGTGTGGGTGAGGGAAGTGGCTGCAGCCAGCACACCTATGCTGATTGGTGATGGCTCAAGTGTGTTAATGTGTGTGTGCCGGCGCCCGGCCTCGCCTCCACCGCTCCTCACTGGCCCATTAGCGAAGCCTGACCTCTGTCATCATCCTCCAGCAAAACACTTCCTCCTGCGCCTGAACCAGAGCGGGAAATGAGGCCGAGCCACAGTTCGCTTTTCAAACCCACTAATCACTCCGCAACATGCAAATGCACCGCTCGCTCCCACACAAAATATTGCTTTATGCAAAGCAGTGCCGAGGCCTCGCGCCAGCCGATTGGATGCTCCCTCTCCCCGCCCGGTGCAATTGGTCCGTTTGTTTGAATATGAATACACTTGTTTTCGGCTCTGCCGGTGGGTCCCGGCTCCTCTCCCCGGCGCTGGGCCCCCGAGCCCTGGCTCTGGCGCTCGCCGACATCTCCAGGCTCCGCGCGCTCCGGCAGTTAGAGCGGTTCGCGCAGCAACCCCATGCTTGGGGGGTTGATGCAGGCCGCTGGGCTGGGGCGCGCGCTGCCGCCCTTCTAAGCTGAGCGCGGAGCCCCCAGCCCACCGAGGGAGCAAGTTTCTGCAGCTCTGCGCGGCCCTTTCGTGCCAACTCCAGCGCAGCGTGGCCTGCCGCCCCGCCCCCGCCCTCCCCTCCCGCCTCTGTCCTAACCCGGCCTGGTTGTAGGTAACGGTGCACCGAGGTGGCCGCGCCCTAGCCCACCTGGTCTCTGGGAAGAAGAAGAGGAAAGGGGTGATGGCAGCACTGGGTCCTGGCAGCCCCGCTCGGGCTGAGGAGGTCGTCACCGAGGCTGAGAGGAGACCGCCGGCCCGGAACTCGGCAAAGCCCGGCTGCCTCCCCCGCCCAGGCCTCGTGGGCCTGCCGATTCCCCCACCCCGTTTCCCTGGGCCCTTTCTTCTTTCCTTTCTCCATTCGGAAGCCGCGGTGCGCAGCGGAGCGGAGGCCCGGCCCCGGCTGGAGAGGCCCGAGTAAACACGCCACTTACTTTGTGTACAGAGGGTTCTTGTGAAAAGCCCTGAAGAGTCCTCACCAAACACTCACCAACTTCTCCCACGTGCCATTTGTTGACTAAGTGCGGCTGCTTCTCCAGGCGCCAGGAGATGAGGGGAAGGAAGGGGGGGTGATAAGAGGGTAGGGGGAGTATTGAAGGCTGGGGTGGGGGAAGGTATGACCAATGCTGGGAGAGATTCTCTGTGTGTTTGTGTGTCCTATCCAGCAATGTCAGTGTGTGTTAGTGTGTGCCACTGGTTATCTGCGTGTGGTTCCTGTGTCTCCTCTCTCCAACTCCCTCTCCTGGGTCTGCTCAGTCCACGGAGGTAGCTCCCCTTCAGCTGTTGCCAGAAAACCGTGGAGGAAAGTAAGTAAATGGCTTTTCTCTTCTGACCACACACCAGAAGTCCATTTGTTGAATGCCGGACGATTAGGACACACCTCGGTACACTCCAAAGGCGCCCCTCGGCGCCTGCAGTTAAGGTGACAGGGGAGGGAGTGGCCGCCTCGTCCTGCGCTGTCCACAGCGTGATCTCTCGGAGCCAGTGGGCCCTGGCGCCAGGAGGGGGAAGGCCTGAGATGGAGAACACACCCCAGGCTCCGGGAAAGGGGAACAGGGAGGCGGAATTGAGGCAGAAAGGCTGAAAAGAAGCCACTGCCGCCTGCACTTGACTCCTCCTGACGTGTGAGAAGTGCTGAAAGTCAGAGCTCATCAATAAAGTCTGCGCGCCCTGAACTCCGCGCAGACAGGCCGCGCCGCTGCTGTCCCTCGGAGCCGGCAAGGTGAGGACGCTGCAGGCTGTCCTGGGCCGCCCGGCCTGTGTGGGCCGCACACACTCGCCCCACCCGGGACCCAGCAACGCTGCGACCTAGGAGATAGGCAGAGCTCCCGGGGAGCGGAGGCCTCCCCAGCCTGGGCCAGGATCGAAGCCGCACCACCCGCTCACCTCCCCGGCCTGGAGGGCGGCTCCTTCCCGCGGCCCAGGAGCACTCAGCGCAGGGAATAAACCCAGGTCAGGGGAGAAGAAGCCGGCGTTCGCGGCCTCCTGCGCAGGATTTCGTAGGACCGCGACTTTCGGAGGATCCCGGGAAGTGGGTCGGTCGGCCTGGGTCGCTGACCTGCGAGGGTCTGCGTTCTCTTTCTCTCCCTTTTTACTTTTCTAACAAGCATTAAAGAAGCTTGAAATCAAGTCCACTGGGCATGAGCGAGAAAAAAATAAAAAGGCCCAATGACTCTGTCCGAACTGGAGGAGAATATCATTTTTACAACCTCTCAATTAGCGACCGAGTGGATTAGTACCTTCTTAAGCTTTGCCTCGGAAAGAAGCAGCCGTAATCTTGTTGCTATTTCCCCCCAGGGCACCAGCTCTTTGAATCAGCTCCTTCTTCAGCCCCCAACCCCCATCTCACCGAAGAAAAGTTTGTTAACAACAACAAAAAATCATCAGAGGCGGGGAGCAAGGAGTGAATGCCACTGACGTCATTGGGTGGGGGTGGGGGTCTGGAGAAGGACTCTTGGAAACTCTTCTGCACAAACATGAAACCAAAAATGCTTGCCTGCTTCCAGTGTGTCAATATTTAGGGGGGAGGAGGAAGACTCAGCCCAGAAGGCAGGTAGTTTTCAAAGTTTAAGGAGAGAAGTATGGAGAGCAAGATTGCCTTGCTGCCTCTAAGCTAGCCTCTAGGAGCGTGGAGGTGCGGTTCTTCCTCGTGGGGCGTCTCGCTCCCTCTGCCAAGTACCTGCTCTGGGGGCGACACTGCCGAGTGGGCGGCCGGGGTGAGGCGCAGCGGGCCAGGGCCTGAGGTTTGCGCAAAACTGAGACAACTCGCCGGTCGCCATTTTAATTGCATCTTCAAACACGCACCGGCCCCCTTGCTGCCCGCCAAGGCACGGGGAAGTTGTCTCGACTTTTCCCTGCTCTCCCAGGCTCCCCTACCGCACGGCGCCTGAGGAGGGCACCTCTTCTGCCTTCTAGGCCGGCGTGTTCCCGCAGGGGCCGCCGGGGTCGGCCCGCCGGGTAGAGGGAGGCACGCTGGGGGATCGTGGCGCGCGGGAGAGCGTCCGGAGCGTCTGGCCAGTGTTGGTGCTTGTGAGGTCGGGCAGAGTCTCACCCCACTGGCCCCTAGCATTTGCCTGCGCCTCCACCATCTCTGCTTTGGGGGCTGGCGCTGCCAAGGCACAGACGTGCCCACTTCTCGGGGGACGCGCTTTCGGCCCCCGGCTTCGGAACCTGGGGTCTCGCAACTGTTGTCCGAACACTTCCGAACTCCTGCCTTTCCCTGCCGAGCGGAGGCACGGTTCTGGTGCGCTGGGAAGAGTGGAGACGGGCATTTTTTTGGAGGAATAAGGACTCTGCAGACACCTCCGTCACTGTGCAGAGCCCCAAACTGCTCCCTCTCTGTAGGCCCTGGGAAGGTGCAAGGTGGGTTCCCTGAACTGCGGAGCTGGCGAGACGGGCCAAAGGAGCGCGAAAGGCAAAGGCCCCCACCCTAGCCGCGCAGTCCGGGGTGCCGCCCTCACTCGGGATCCTTTCTCCCTCTCCTTTCTCCAACAACCTGACGGGTTCCCGCTCACCCCACAGACTCGCCGAGCCCGGAGCTCGGGGAAGCGAAGGAGAGCCAGGAGACCGGCGGACGGCGGCTCCGGGCTGTGACCACGCTCGGCTGGGAAGCCGTGGTGCCCTCGCCTTAACTCGCCTCCTGTCAAATGGAGAGTGAGTCACGGCGCTCTGGATTCGATCCTCTTCCATTCACACGGGCTGGCAGGCCTCTCTCTAAATACCAGGAAAAACGCTTAAAAGAACCATTGTCCAGCTGTGTCTCCCAGCAAAGAGATTATTCCCCCAGCCCCGGTGGGTCTAATTCCCTAGCCTTTGCCCCCTGGCCCCTACATACGGTTGTCTGCTGAGGAACTCTCCAATTTTGCAATAGGTTCCTAGGAAAGTTTGCTTTTCATTTCGTCCCGGATACACGATCTCCCATCTCTCTTTTCCCTGTAACCCACTCCCTCAAAGGCAAGATTTCAACTTCAAACGAAAGCAAGCCCTCTACTTTCTTACCTCAGTCCCTTCTCCCTCCAAATCCCCTCTCTAAAAAGCTGCCTCTTCTAAAGACTAGGGACCAAGTCCTGAGATCTGTCCTCAAGTGGAACGGGAGCACGCGGGCCGGGGACTACGGGCTTGGCTGGGGGATTTGAGGCTGGGCGGGGGGAGTAAATGTCACGGCTGGCTCGCTGGAGCAGCCAGGGAACCGGAGCTAAGCGCATCCTGACGGGCTTTTAAAATGACATTGATTGGGACAAGCTGTTCCCAACCCCAGTAAGAGTTAATCTGCCTGTTAATCAGCCACTAAGGGACTCAATGCGAGTTTTATTAGCAACTGGAGAACACAGGCGGCAGCGAGGGATCAAAAGCCGGGATCCCTGATATTTGTCAGCGTGGTCTCCAAAAAATGTATTTTCAATTAGAGAACGATTCGGTGCTTTTCATCACTTCCTAACCCAGCCTCACAGATGGTGATTTACAAACTCGGCTAACGGAGGTGGGATGGGGTGGGGGGGTGGCCCACTCCTGGAGGCAGCCGGGGGGCGGACAAGGGGCGGGGAGGAGCTGCTGGTTGGCTCCCCCTAGTTCGGCCGGGGAGAGTTTAAGAATCCTCAGCCTCCGATTCCTCCTGACAGGACAGAGAATGAAAAATAAAGCAACAAATAACGCCACCAATATCAGCATCCGGCTCTCCGGGGCAGCCCCTACTCCCCGGGCCGGGCTCGGGCACAGGGAGGTGTCCGGTTTCCGCGCGCTGCCGCCAGGCCCGCGGGAAAGTTTACGCAGCAAGGAAGACTCTCCTTCCCTCTCTCCCGCGCTGCCCTCTTCTGCCCTGGAGGGGCGTTGGGTTCCCTTCGGTTGTCCTTTCAAATTCTAAAATAAATAAATAAATGCTCAGGCCCTAGGGAAATCTGAATAGTAACTCATTCAATAATCCAAATTATGTGAGAGGGACTGGGGAAAAAAATAGAAAAAAGATAAGCCAGCCACATCGGCTCCCGGATCAAGGAGGGCACTGGAGGGAGAAGGCTACAGAGGAAGTCCCCGGCTCGCCCTGGGCGCTAAGCAAGGACTCTGGTCAGAGGTAATTACGTCTCGGCGTTTTCTCGCCATGACAGCCGAATAAACACAATCTCCAATAAACATCTCTAATGAGGGAGGAGGCCCAGGGATGGATGGGTTTGATTTATGACTGGAGGAGAAGGTCCACTTCCCGCTGCGAAGCAGGCAACCTGCTTGGCGCCCAGTTCCGGGGGAAGGAGCCTGCAGAGCAGAGGACACCCGCCCAGGTAAGGCTTGCGGCCGGGAAGTCACTTCACTCGTTCCCCTCTTCCCCGGCTAGGTGGGCAGGGAGCGGCCAGCGGCGCGGAACCGTACGAGGGGGGTGTCCCAAGCGCCTGTCATAGGTGCCTGAGATCCAAACGTCCCCAGGAGGCGGCCCCAGAAGGTCTGGAGAGAGGGCATCAAGAGCGCGGTTGGGAGTAGATGGGGGGGGGGGCGGCGAGCCCAGGCCTGGCCTAGAGGCCGCCCCAAAGTCCCAGGACGGGGGGTGTCCCCTGCCCGCCTAAGCCTGCCTGGTAGTCTTCGCCACTTGGAGCTGGACTCCCGGGACTTTCGCCCAGCGGACGCAGGAGTTAGCCTAAGTTTGAGGTCGTCCCTTCCCTGACCTACTTCGGGGAAACGTCTAGCACCCAGTTCTGGCCATCTGGGGGCGGGAGGGTGGCCCAGAGCTGCCCTCCTCGGCGCTCAGCAGCCCCGGCTACCCCGGCGCCCACGAGCTTCCCGTCGAGGAAGAGAGCGCAGCGCCCGCGGTAACCCGAGCCCACGTTCTAGCTCAGTGAGAATCGCTAATTATTAGGTCTTCCGAAGTGAAGCTCAAATCACACGCTGGGGGCTTTGCGTGCTGCCCAGCTCTGCGGACCGCATTCTTTCGTCCTCCTTCGTCCTCCGCTCCTTTCTGAGAAACGAGCCCCATCGCTAAGACTTTGTTGGGGTCCAACCATCTACACTTTACAACCGCGGGAAACTTTTGCCGCACCTCGCTCGACCTGTGGCGGGGCATCTCCACTAGCGTCAGGCGCTGTGGGGACCTCTCCACGCGTGCTCCTCGTGAACTGCCAAGCGGAGGAGAGCTGTGTGCAAACTGCACCCATCTGCATTTTTCAGGATCTCG